TTCCTTTACTTTCATCCCACACAGAATGAGGTATGTATTGCCTAAAGGAATAAGGAAAAGCAATGACTGGGATTGCCTTCTCTACTGTATATGCCAATGCAGTTATGTCCTACGCTGCTTTCCCTAAAAATCCAATAAACAGTAAGAACTCCAGATGTGGTCAGAAGTGAAAATGTACACGAAGAATATGTGGCATTATCAGTGCAAGTGAGTTTAAAGTCTTCTGACTTTCATAAAATCTCTCCATGGCCCCCTGAAGAGTCTGTAAAACTGCTTCTGTTTGAGAGTGTTTCTGCGTCTGGGTCTGTGTGGGTAGTGGTGGCTGTGGTTTAAGGCTCTCTGGGGAGATGAGGAGCAAGGATGCCACACATACTGCGGGGAATGTCAAGACTACTTATAAAGAAGGAAGCAGGAGGGCTTTTCTTTCTTCCATGCAAAATGTGTACCTACAGCTGGTATTTTATTTCCCTGCATTGACAGGTATTTTAAGCAAGTTAAAAAGCCAGACGTGTCTGGAATATATTGGTTTTGCTTTCTTTTATTCAATGTTTTTACTCCACAATGGATTTTCATTCCTATTTTCTCCCTGGGATATCACATACATTTGCCCTTCAACGGTTGTCCTCAAGGAGGGATATAGGCCAAGTTAGGTTGAAAAGATGTTTCTCCAATATAAGATGTAGCTGGTTGGACAGATTATAAGGAAGAACTTTAAGCAGAAAAGGTAAGGTGGTCTCTATAGACAAAACAGGGCTACTGTAAAGCTTGTGCATTCTCAGCAGGGGAGTCTGTCAAGCTGGTTTGGAATTAGGAGTGCATCTACCAATGATTAATGTTTTGACATTCATGTAAAATAGCCCCTTCTAGTTTTAAAAATGTCTTGATTAGAGGTGTCTTACAGTAATCAATAATTAAGAAGTTAAGAGCTTTGCTTTCATACTCATCTTTCTAATCTTTTCCTTTCAGTATTAAGGTTTGGAAGTGCTAGTTCAAACCTCTTGCAGTTGCTGGGAGTTGGATCCATTTTTCTGAGAAGAATATAAATGGGAGTAGTGATCATCTCACAGTGAAGGGCCTTGACCAAAACAAGCTCTCAAAACAAGCAAAGCTTGTTCTACTGGATACTTACCTTGGTCTTTTAGATGTCTTGTAAGATGGATGCTCTCCATCAATCTTAATTGTTTGTTCAGTTCCCTTGAGAAAGCTTTCAAAGAGAACATAAGAACGAGTTCATGTTTTACACCAAGGCTGAGTCTGCTGCAGAGGGGGATAAATGTTTTGCCAATATTGGTCTGCAATAGCTCGCTCAGCCATGGCAATGAAAGGCAGCTGAGGAGATGCCCCACTCCTTTTTGTAAGCTATAGATGCCTCCAATGGTACAGGCAAATCAGAAAAGCTGCTTGCTTTGTAGAGAAGTTTGTTTTGATTAATACAGAGTCCATCTGGTACCAGCAAAGTTTACGTTCCTGTAAACTGCATGGTATTGAGTTTTACTAGGCCACCTACCCTGCTGTCTTCAATTATAAAACCTCAGGGAGTGCCCTGATGATGTAACTGATTTCAGGATGAGCCGTGCTTTTCAGGAAGCTGGAGCTGCCAAATATCTGTCTTGGCCTCCACTTGAACTGTACAAGAGAAGTCCTTGCATTATTAAGCATTTCTTGGATTTATTGTTTGTTTTGACTCTGTTTGCTTCAGGGAGTGTTCCTGTAAGGATTTTAAAAGATAGCAAGTAGGCAATTACATGCTGGTTTGCTTTGTGGGAAAGCTGGCAGAAAGCAGAGGTGGAACCTCTGCCCAAATGGGCTCTTTCCGTACTCGTTTAGCAAACCTGGCAATCTGGATTTCCTCTTCTAATTTTATTCTTTCATTATGAAAATTTGGGAGACTCACACCATGAAATGTTCACCTACTCTGGAGGTAGCGTATTGCTGCATGGAGCCACCATCAATGCAGTTGTCCTGCATACATCCCATGCCTACTTTCACGTGGGAATGAATGCATGTGTGTGTTTTGGCATGGGGAGCCTCATTACGGCTGGTTGGGGTGGAGTAGGTGATACGGACTGGTTCCTGTGAACAGTGAGATGTTTGGCAGCCTGATGTGGTTGGTAAATGCATGGAAATCTGACCTGCAAATGACTTTATACAAGGCAGCTGTTTAAAATGGGTGTAAAACAGTTAAACTGTGATGATAGTAATTTCTTTGATTGTCCTACCTAAAGACAAAATAGCTTTGGATGATCTTAAGGTTGTCTGAGCAAAGTTCAATGTCACTTTAAATGTGTTTGCAAGCTGCAATTTTACATATGAAATGCTACTGCATTGTACATGCTGTGTGTCACTGACATTTAGCAAACTTCCTCATCCAGGTCCCATTTGTAGTTAATTTGAATTTAGTACACAAACAGTTCATTGTTCTTCACCTGCATCAGACATGAGACATTTTACTGTTACCTTCCCCTGAAACAAGTAGTAGCCTTAGTAAGGCACTCTGGAAGACCACATGGTTTGTTTAAAGCTTTGATGCATTGAGCATAACCCATATGTTCATGTCACTCCCCCAGGCTGATCTGATTGGCGGGCAGTTGGATTACCCAGCAGTGAACCGTGTTATCTTCTGTGGTTTCCAGATAGGACTGCAGGACAGCAGCTTTGTCAAAATGGAAAAGTTTCACTTCTTAATTGAACTATTGTGGAAAAAACATTTCTTAACTGAATCTACAAAGTACCAAAAGCATTTTTATGAAGGATCAGAAATATCAGGGCTCTCTGAACTCTCTTGTTTCACCCATTCCCAGTTACCCATCACTTTCATTCTGATTCCTTCTTGCTTGCTGCCCATTTGCTTTCTAGCCCAGAGCAGTGATTTGCAGTTTATGTCAACGCAGGGTTTCTTTTTTCCTGAGGATGCTACTGCTCCATAACATAAACTGTGAGGGGGCTGTCAGGATTTTCTGAAATGCTTCCAAGAGGCCTGCTCTACAGTGGCCAGAGCTACCCTGAAATTTGGTGGAGTGCTTCAAATTAACTTTGACTTGCAGATAAATTCATGCCTTGAATCAGTGTTTGGTAGCTTGCATGGTGTTATGCTTGCCGCAAGAAAGGTGTGAGATCTGGGCAGCATTTTAGTTACTTATAGGCAGACAAAGTAAAAATCAAGATGTTTAAAGAGTAAGCTTTCCTGCAGTGTACTGCCAAAAAGGAAAAAGCAAATCCTGCTTTCCATTTACATCCATTTTCTGGCTTTAATTTTCTCCTTAGGCCAAGTTTGAGAGGGAACAGAGAGATTGTAATGATGAGGGTTCCTCTATGCCCTGTGGTGGTCTCCAGACCTAGATCAGTGTTTGCAAGGCCCTAAACCACAGATGCAGTTTCCTAAGGATCAGTAGCCTAAAATGAACTTTATTCTTCTTGCTGAAGGGGCTACCTTCACAAATAGCGTGTTGTCCCTAGCGGTTATTCAAGCTGGAACATCTTTGATGCAAACTTGATTTGATAAAAGCCAGATCCCTGCTGAGCGTGGCAAAGCAGCAGAGTCTGTGTGTCCCCACCTCCCCGAAGGTGCTGCCCCCTGAGCTTGTAGCTTGCCTGACCATGGGTGGCTGTTCTGGAGGGTGGCAAACACTTGGCCTGGAGATAATGGCCACCTCATGAGTTTTAGGTCACTGGTGTGAGGTGATGTAGTTTTTCAAGGATGAAGTTGGCAGGCTTCTTGACACTGATAAAGGTGCTCCTCTGTCTCTAATTGAAGGCTTGGAGAAAAGGCTCAACTGTTCTGGCTGATCTTTTCCCAAAATAATTCCACCTAAAGCAAATATTTGTAATGCAAATTTTCTGCCCAAAGTGTTGCAGTTAGTTAAAAGTACAAGCAAGTGAAAACAGGTTCTTGAAAAGAGTCAGGCAGTGTGATTAATAGGGGGCTCTTCTCCCTCCACCCGTTAAAATATAAACAAAATGCAACCCAACATTTCTGTTCCTGCTGCAGAGCATAAGGGGTTGAGTTTCATAAAAGGTTCCGGTAGGGAACAAAAGGCTGGGATTTGATCTAAATGCTTTTAAACTCACTGAGAGTATTTTCTTTTGGCTCCAGTGGGTTTTGGAGCAGGGCCACAGTGAACACTTGAAGACCGACCTGACCTTTCATGAAGAGAGAAAGCTGAGAGCTTAGTTTCATCTCACTTGTACTTGCTGGAGCCTGATTAAAATCAGTGAGAGCTCAAAAAACTTTGCACTTTGCGGAGTTCAGCCCTTGAAGACGAGTCTGACATTTAAGTGCTTAAATGTCAACATTTGTAAATAAGTAGACACCAAAGACTGAAAGTCATCTGGCTTGCTTTACATCGTATGGTTTGGTTCCTGAGTTTTAAGCGTGACACTTACGTAAAGTTTTCTGAAGAGCAGTTATTTTGTAGAGGGCATCCAGATGTACTTCCTTCTTCTTGTTAAATACCACCTCTGTTTCTGGCTGGCTTTGCCCCTGGTACTTTCGTCTGTGGTGTAATCTTTTCTCCATCGTGCCATGGTGACCAGGCTTGCAAACATCCAACTAGAGAAAAATTGAACAAAATGCTAGATATTAAAGACTCTTGGCAGCATTAGGAAGTGCTGCAGACTTGGTTTTGAAGACTTGAAGTGTGGAAGCAATCAGATGATAGACTGTGTTGAGGAATGTGGAGAGGAAATAGGATATATTTTATCTGCTAGATGTGCACAGAAGAAATGTATGATGCTTTCATGCCTGGAAAGGTAACTTGCCTGCAGGTGTTGTGATTCATGCTGCAATTTTTGTAACTCATTTAAACAGAATATCCTGGTACTGACTATGTTGCACAGAGGAACCTGCAAATGCTTTCCTTCTGAATTAATTTTCTTTACTTGATATTTATAATTTCTTAAAATTATGAATAATTTTTCCAATATTTTTCTAGCTCCTATATGCTCAAAATATTCCTGTTGTCTTTTCTGTATTTATTTTTGTTTCTCATCATTTTACTACAATGATGAAGCCTCTGTAAGGCTCAATAGAAGTGGAATTATCATTCAGTTAATTTCTTAGGTATGGCACCGTTTATCATATTAAGAAAGCTCCTTAGAATTTGGCAAGTGCTTCTACTCTATATTAAAATAAATGTGTTTGTTTGTTTTTTTTTTTCTCCAGATACAGTTTAATTTTACTCATTGAGAAACAGGAAAGTTTTTACGAACACTCCTACAACAATAAGCCACCTGTGTATGTGTCTCTGTGCAGTTAATTATCATGACACCTTGTCAGCAGACTTGTAATGAAACTTAGGCATGCAGAATACACTTCAAAAAATGCTTAAAATCAGTTCATTTCTGCTAGACAGCTATTCCTATCTCTAGAGAGTGAGCAGAGAGTTGGGAACAAGGAGTTTTTGCATTTTAATCATAGCTTAAAATTGAATTGCTCTGTTTGGGTGACCTTTTAAAAATGTGTCTTGGTGTAGTCTTCTGGGAGCATGAAGACAACAATCATAGACACACGTAGGGGTTTTCTGAGGATTAAGGGGTTAATTGGTGATTAACAAAACAAAACAAACAACCAAAACTAGATCTTGACGGGGAAACTGCAATGCATTACAGCATATATTATTTGAAGCGGTCTCAATATTTACTGAAATCATGTGGAAAGAACTTTGAAGAGTAAGAGTGATGTCGTCATTACTGCCCCTTAGTTTTGGGTGGTTAAAACAATGTATTGCTTTTTTTCCAGTATGAAAAATTAGTTATTGTTTCAAAGTATTTCAACAAATATTTGTTTCCTTACATTTCAGCTACTTGACTGCAAATAACAACCAGAATTTCTTGTATACTGCAAGGCCTTTTTTGAAGAGAGCTGCTTTGGTAATAAGCTATGTAAGTACAAGTGGACTTGACCATGTATTTCTGTGTATGTGATGAGAATGAACATTATGTGGTGGTATCCTAAAAGGCTCAGAAAGCTTAGATGATAGACCTTAATACAAAGTTAGGCTTGGAAAATAGTCTAGAAAACTTCAGCTGGGCAGAGACAAGAATATTGCTGTGTTTTCAGTTCAGATTTTCCTTAATTTATAGTGGTTGCCCTCACAACTGTGTAATCATCTGCAAGTGTTTCCAGCCCTAAATACAGGGGCACTGTCTGACACTGGACTGACTTTTCAGTAGCATGCTGTTAGTTTCAGTGCAGGGCTCGGGAAGAATCACAAGAAAAGCTCTGCCTGCAGACACCTGCTGCTGGGCACACTCTGAGCAGAACTTGACACGTTTCAGGGGAGAAAACAAGCACTTCCACAGGGGTGTCCTGAGTGTGCAACTCCCTGTGCTGCTCTAGGAGCTAGATCCCCCTGCTTGTCCCTTGACAAGTGGTTTCCAGAAAGGTAGAGGAATGACATCCTACAGAAGTCCTTCCAGGGATTTAGCATTACACAGCATGATAAACACCAGTGGAGCATGTCCTTACATCTATGCCAGCATGAGTGAGTGATAATAGCTTTTAAGACATCAGCCATCCTTTTCCATCTGTACTTAGGAAGAGGTCAATAGCAAAACTGTGCAGTCTGAGCCACAGCAGGGTGATGGATTTGTCCTTCAAAATGCTGTCTTTGTTGTGGGTAGCCAAGATATGCCAGCTGCTGTCAGTAATGCACATGTGAAAGAGGGGACACACGACAATGTAGCGTGCTCTCTCTCTGCTGAGGGTTGGCACGTTTGTCACCCTGCATAGGTTGGCAAATTGAATTTTGCCTAAATGGCTGGACTGGCTCACTTCTAGGCACAGAGCAGAGTATGGAGAGCTGTCACAACAAAAAGTTGGCTGAAGGCCTTAGCTGTTCTTCGTAACGCGTTGCTAACCGAGATGTTCTTCTCTGAAGGTCACTCTGGTGCTGTATTTCCGCCTCTGGATAATGGGAGGGTCTATGCCCATGTTTTCGGAGCAGGACAATCCAGCTTCATTCTCGCCGTATTTACTGACGAGGTACAATGCCACTAATCAAGCCAGAGTTTTCAAAAGTGTAGCCTTGATGTTATTTTTTCCCTGCACTAAAATGTTTTACATATGCTAATGAGGAGACTTGGTTTTTTGTCTTAATTACTTCTTATTGCTCTGTCTAGAATAGAAAGCAACCAGCATTATTTGAACCCCAAAGCACACTCATGGTCCTGTAGAGTTATATTATAGATGCATTCTTGCTGAAAAATGTGATTTTTCTGTAAAGCCCAAAGAACATAATTTAATTGCCTGAGCACAGGACCAGAAAGCCCAGTGACTGCAGCCTAATCCTAAACCTTGAAACTGTCTGCTCCTGAGGTGTGGGATGCAAACATTCAAGAATTTTGGCTTCAGCTGAAGTTTGTATAAAAACGAGATGACCGTGCCTGTTGGTGGAATATCATTGGCTGATCAGTGAAGCTGGAAGGCAGGAGTCTGGTGGTATGTAGTGTTCTGCACACCTCTGACCAAGTGCACTGTGGGCTGCCATCGATTAATTAAACATAACGAACCTGAAATGTATGCTAACAGATTTTTGTAATTTTTTCAGTTCTTTAAGAAAAAAAAAAAAAAGACACATAAATGCTTAAATTCAGTAAAAATGTTGTTTTTCCTTGCCTGGGACCTGGCATGTGATTAAGTGGGCAGATACCACATCCTGCTGGTTCTGCTAGGCCAGACCAGCAAGGCACTGGCAGCTGTGAGTTATCTCCCTCCAGACTGAACCAGACCAGTGCTCCCAGAAGGTGGTCGAGACTTATTTCCTCTTAAGACGACATGACCATGTGCATAACTCTGGTTAGCTACTGAACTAGGGGAAGATGCTTTGCAGGCTTCTGAAGGAATTTTCTGATGTCCAAGTGAAAATGAGAACAGTGCTCTTCTCTGTCACTTTTTGGCTTGGCTGGCTCCTCATTCCGACAGTGGAATTGCAGCTGAGGCACAGGTTAAGCTCAGACAATCCTTATTCAACATCTGCTGCAGAATTGGGCTGGATCTCATTTGGGAGACCTTTATGATAATGTGACAACAGCTCCTATTACCATCAAGGCTAAAAGTACTTCCAGGAAGCACACTGTCTGATTTGGAAAGCTCTGATCTGTTTGCAGCAATTCTGGCAGAGTCGTTAATACCAGACTCTGTGCAGCACAACATGAAGGATTTGCTGCTGTCCCTTTTTGATATGTTTATGCTGAGGTGGGGGTCGTCAAGCCATAAATGATCCTGGCCTTATTCCAATTGCATATTCTGTGCTGCACATGACTTTCATGTTTTTGTGTCTTTATATTTTGTAATGACAGGGGAAGGTCTTTTAAACCCAAAAGCTCAGTCACTGTTGGAGTATGAAACAGTGACTATTTTTACTACTGGCAGTATGGATATTATTAACAGCCTTGTGAAAGACAAGTGAGGGTGCTGCTGGCTGAGGTCCTCCCTGAGCCCAGCAGCAGCCCTGGCTTCACCTACAGTCCAGCAACACTTACCTGCTCCAAACCTAATCAAGGAAACTCTTGCCATTGAAAACTAGAATTATTGTGCTAGAGGGATCCTAAAACCCTGCAGTTCACAGCTATTCCAATTCTGCTGAGCTTGATCTTAATCCTCACTTCAGCCAATATACCCTGAAGCCTGTATCCTCCATCCAGAAAAGCCATCCTTTCGGCAAGCCGGGATGGCAGCCCTTGCATGGCTTCCTGACATGCAGAGTTAAACTCAGCTGCTGAGTTCCTGCCCTGCTGATCGAGCACCAGCCTCCCATGGCTGATGCTCAGTCATGGGTCCTGACAACAGAAGCTGAAAAGCAGGTTTGCTGCTGAATCCTGATCAGGGTTCAGTCAGAAGATGGAACTGGAGGCAAGGCTACAACACTGGCCCAAAGTCCGTCCAGGAAAAAGGACAACAAGGAGGAGTAAGAACAAGCGAGAACATGTCTGTGAGGGTCCATCAGGAGACAAGTTACCTACAGCACAAGTCCAAGGTCCATCCAAGAGACAGCTATGAGCTGAAATGGGTTCTTAGAGCAATGGGCATCAGGTGTGGGGCCAGGTGAAGCTGACAAAGGCCCAGACAGCATGTTGTCAGATTTCAGTACCTGCCACTTCCCTTGCCATAGATTTTGTTACTGGCCTTCTGCAATAGTCCCTGTCCTCACTCTATGTACTCTGTTTGATCTAGAAAGAAGCTGGTTCCTGAGTTTCTGTTGACTTTAGCTGTAGTCTCCTGGCATGATCCTTCATCTTAGATATGAGGTACCTGAAGAATATGTCCATAAATTCTTATTTCTCTGAACTCAAACCTTAAACTGACCACTACCTTGAACTTGCAACCAAACAACCTGAAAGAGGCTAAAACCTGGTCCCGTGCACCACCCTAAGCCTGCAGGATCCACCTGACAGCACGTTAAGCTTGTTCAGCAACACCTTCTTTCCTGAACCCAGACTCTAACCCTTCACTTCAAAATAGTCAGTGACCCACCGACTGCTTCAGAGCTAGCTATGGGCCCAGCTGTGCTGCTGGCAATAGTCTTCATGTTAGACCTATGGGGGGTCCACCTGTAAATGAGAAATCAGAGATGAGAGCTGCTTTTTATTGCCTCATATTGCTATGGAAAGACTAATTAATCAGTGTGGATGATACCTTAGGATAAGTTTCTGGACAGCTAGGGTGGTAAATTTTTGCTAAATGGGCGAGTGGTCAATCCTGCAAGGTAGACAGAGACCCAGTGGCTGTCTCTGAACTGACAGCCCATGATGTACTCACCGACCACAGCCATTACCTTGGCAAAAAAAACATTTTCCTTCCTCACTGCCTCTTTCAGACTGAAACTGTAACTTACCTGAGACTTACCTTACCATGGTCAGAGCTGAAGCTGTTGCTGCAGAACTGATGTTGTGCCAGTCATCATGAGTGCAAGACAGGAATGTCAGATGGAGCCAGCAAGGTTGAGTGGCATTGGCCTGATTTTCAGGAAGATCTGTGTGTCTGGCCAGTGGGCAGGGTAGGCTGAGGTGCAGGGCTGGTGTTCATTTTAGATGCAAGGAAAAGGGAGACTGAAGAGACAAGATCGTTTTTAAAGCCTGGTATTTCCACAGGGTGGAAATAAGAAGTGCTATTAGCTGAGTAAATTGCATGAATTTGGAGGTGATACTACTTGTTTGCTCCAATGTTCAGGTTGACATTGCGTTAGGGTCTTGGATATCAAGGCTGGAGGATATTCAGCATCTAAGTAGGTGCTGGTGTGTGTTCCTCAGCTGTGGACAGCTACAGCAGCAACAAATGAAGACTTAGTGTGAGAAGCTTTTAAAGAGGTCTTGAAGGCAGCAATTAAGTCACAGCACTGAATTTAAGGCCAGCATGTTATTTGCAGTCTGAGTTGTGTTGTGAAGGAGTGGAGGAGTTAAGTCCAGGTGTCAAGACCAGCAGGTAGAAATCTCATGAAACTAAGAGAAAGGCCAGTGTTGTGTAGTAATCTTGAGGTGGTTACTAACACCTTAACTATGGCTGAAGCAAGGGTTAGTGCTTAGGCAGCGGGCAAGCTGTTTTGTAACTCTCTGAAGATCATGTGGGGCACAGATGGGAGCTTCTGTGTGCAAGCAGCCGTCTGTATTTGCACTGAGCTGGAAACATGGTTATTGTGTACGTCACACCAGGGTAAATGTTAAGATTTTCAACAGAGTTTGAAAGTTATTGTAAGACTTGGTGAACTCTGTGGGGCTAGGACAAAGGCTGGTGACAACAAGTGGAATAAAAAAGAAAAACAGTAGTTTGGAATCTTGTGGCAGTCTTTGTGAAACACATAAAGCTATATCTGGAGTTGGGGTGTTGGCTGACAGAGGATGAACCCAAAGGAGTGTAGTTAACTCTCACAAGGTTTCTGTGTCAGCAGGTAGGCTGCATAGGTGCAGTTTGTCCTGAGGCTGGCAAGGGTTATTGGAGCTGTGGTTAGCAGTAGGGGTAAGTATTTTGAAAAAGTATTGAGTAATGAGGTTGGATTTTGTCAGCTCTTATGATGCTTGTAATGTAAATTAGATGACTGAGGGTGTGAGAGGTTTATGCATCCACGATTGTGTGGAGGCGGAGAGCATATTAGAAATTGAGGTGTATCACATGAATCTAGGAGGGGATAGGTCCAAAACAAGCCAAGGAAGTGGCTTGTAACAGGTAGCTGAGCTGAGGAGCTCCTTCCTGCAGGATGCTGTGGGTGTACTGAAAGTTTATGCAGGCTCAAAGAGAGATTGGGCAAGTTAAAAAAGGAAATCCAGGCAGAAACCTCATCCAACATGGGGACATCATGCTAGCTAGAAACTGGAAAAAATGATCATGCTTTTAGATGGTTTGCTTGGTGTTAATTTTTGGTCACTGATGGTGAGAGGATCCTTTTCTGGACAGACCTGTGGTATGGCTCAGTTTTGCCTTAGAACATGACTATTATGCTCTGTGGAACTTGTCTCCAGTCTTGGACAACACAAATGTATAAATTAAAGTAGACAGATAATGATTTATTTGACCACTGGAAGATGAAATATGCTGAAACAATGACAGGTTTTCAGTCTTCAAAAAAAACAACCCACATCTGTTCAGTATGTTCACTAAATTACTGTCCTTAAAATCAAAAGCGACATTCCTAAATATCTTAAAACTTATAGTGACATAAATTAAAGCCACCTTTCCATGTCCTTCAGTGTGTTGCTTGATAAGGGTGATCTCGGAGGATGAAATCTGTCCATCATTCCCTCTCTCAGTGGAGGCAGAAATGAAGGTGTTGGGAATCTTGCTATTTGTAAGCCCTGCCATTAGAGCCTGTCCATACCGGCTGTTGCACACTGCAAAAAGGACATAGCTTCTCTGTGAGCTACTGTAAAGAACACACATTTCCAGTCATCGTGACTTGCCATTCCAAAATCTGTCATGGATAAGCTGTTGCAATAGAAAAAACAACCCCAAACCTCTGTTAAAACATTCTTGTTTGTGTTAGATGAAAGTTG